TAGATTTATTGACAAAAATTAGAGACNTTTAGAAAGGAAGGAGCTTTTAGTAAAAAAGTATTGCATCCATTGACTTTATTCAACTAACTGATCATTGTTGAGAAACGGAAATTAAAATCATTTGAAATGACAAATGCTAATAAATAAATAAGCCTAAAATAAAATTGCATATATAAGCTCTAACGGATAGATAAATGAAATTGCAAAAAAGTTCAAACCTTAATTCATACTGGAAATGGATGAATTCTAATTTGATTCTAGTTTTGATGTAATTTTTTATATTTCAACTACTCGCAAATCAATTGCCATCCGTTGATTCATTTAAAATTAAATTATAATTTGCAATCGGAAGTGATTGTTTCTATACATTATTTAATCATTTTGTAGTAAATTAAATCGAGCTAAAACTTTATGTTTCTGTGGCAACCATATTTAAATCATTGAATGAAGCATTTGTGCTATTCAATGATTCATTAAAAATTAAGTTGTAATTTATAATTGAAAATTGGTTTGCTACATTTTTTCCCTTTTGCGACAAATTCACGTTAAATAAATTGTCACATTAAATAACCATTAAAGCTCCAAAGAACAACGAAATATCAAAGTAAGTAATGTTGTTTTGAAAAAAAAATTCGATCTCTATGATAATGTATTTGCTATGAAAATTTGATATTCGAAGTTGAAATGAAGCTATTCACCTCCTTACAAATACATCTTCCTTCGTTGAAGTGTCACAAATGTGACACACTTTTCAAATTCACAGAAATACAATAATTTGTGCTTGTGACCAATAATTACATCAGAAACATTATAAGCTTTATTGAAAGGATTGAATCAAACAACTTGTTTATTTTTATGCTTTCAGAATTAGTAATCACAATGTTTCATGTAGCTTCAGAATCTAAATGTCATTCTATTACGTTACATACATTTACATGTACGATTCCTTTACCTTCCAAATTTTACTCATTTTCATTTTAGAGGTGCTTTTTCTTTTTCTGTCAAAAATGAATAGAACAATTGAAGAAATTTGTACTGAAGCATACTATTTGAAAACAAATTTTTTTTCCAAATTACTCAATTTATCGCTGTCATTCTTGGTGTAACAGCAGTTATTCTACTACTTTATGTTACGATCTGTATGATCATTAAAAAGGTAAAAAATATTTTTATTGAAAAGTTTACTTCAAATAATTATTGATTCAATTATAATTATTAGCTTAAATTTTTGAATTTTAAATTTTTTCCCATTTCTTAATTAACCTATCCATCGTTTATTCGATTATTAATAACTCTAAAATTCAACCATTTTGGTTGAATTAATAATAATTTTTGAGTTATCATTTTGCATTTTTAATTCATTTCATACCGTAGGAAAAAAATTACCTGTTTTTTGAATTTGGTGGACACCTCATTTATTTTTTGTTCTTCAGATATTTCATATAAATTTGAGAATATTATTGACGAATTTGTTTGGTTTATTACTTCTTCGATCATCTGTAACCGTTTTTCGATCATCTTATCGTATATATACAGTGATAACTCATCAGGTTTACATTTATCTTGACAAATTTCAATTAAATGAATCAAAACTTTTATGTCTTTATTATAATTGCTTTAAAATTATTAAACAAATTAATTTACATAAAATAAATTTCAGTAAAAATAGCAATCAATTAGATTAAGTATCACTATTTTAGGATCATTGTTCATTTTTGATGAATTCTGTTAAATGCGCAGTTATCATCAATTCGGGCGCAGCACCTCTTGCATGCTTACGATATGCATATATTGCAATTACAGTTGAACGATTTATTGCTATGTGCTTCTATCAATGTTATGAAAAATGGAATTATCCAATTGCGATTGCTTTTGTTCCATTAACAGTTCATTTTTTAAATATTTAAATTGAAATTTTGCAAAATTTTAATTTTATTTTAAATCATTAATATATTGAATCAATTGTAGAAAATTCTATAAAATTGTTAATTTTAATAAAATATGATAACATATAAAAAATGAATGATTATTTTAATAATTATAGAAAAATTATCAATGAAATAAAGTAATAAATTTTAATTATGAAATCCACTAAATAAGTAAATTTAAAAAATAAAAAAAAATACAATTATTATATATGTTTTTATTGTTTCAGTGGTTCGAAATAGCATTATTCATCAAACGTGTAGTATTGATACTGTATGAAAACAAGAAGATTTACAGAAGTTATTGCTCATCGATTACAACCAAAGTTACCACATATTTTAAGTTAATAATGGAAATACCAGTATTAATTGGAGTATTCTGTTTACTTCTAATAACACGCATTATTAGCAAGAAAAAACTGACGTTAGAATTTACTTTTATATGACCTAAAATTGAAAATGTTGTTTGCAACCAAAAGAGCCAAAAGTACAAAGATTAAAAGTTATTAAAGTATTGAAAGTAATGTAATTAACAAATTTAATTTTTGCCAAGTTTACTCATAATTAAGAATTTATAACCTTAAAGATTTACGTCTTTTTTTTTCGCTTTATAATATGTTATTGAAATATCGTTTAAATTTAGACTTCATATGCGAGTAGGAATGGATACATTATCATCACGTTATCAAATTCGGGAAAATATGAAAACAACAAAAACAATGTTTATTGCAACTATAATGTTTATTATAACTTCCCTCATTAATTTGCCCGGGGTATACTTACTGCAATATTTTCCGCCTTCTGAATTACTGCTTTTTGCAATCACAAAAGTAAATGATTACTGGAAATTATTAGAATTGAAAAACTATTCTTGTTTTTTTTTAAAAAAAAAAAAAAAAAATTATTACAAACTGTTTTCTGAAATTTGTATGAATTTCAAAAGTATTTAACATCAGTGATGAAATTTTAGACAATTAAGATGTCCAGCATTGTGAACAATGGTTTATTGTGAACTTTTCAAAGATCACAAAAATAGTTTTAATGTAACGAATATCACTTATCATAAAATTTGCTTTAAATTTTTTAAGTGATAATTTTGAGTTACGGTTAAAATATTTATGATAATGTCCTACAATTGCAGGAAATGATAAGTTATACATTTGCAATATTCATTAATGCCGTATCAATTTTGTTTATCATCAGAGTGGATCAAATGCATATTAAAACTCTCAAATGGTTACCTCATTTTGGATGCGGTCCATCGAATCGAGTAGGAGAACAAATGAATCAACCTGTTTCAGGTCGACAACATATCGAAATTGTTGAACAAATGTGGGAAAAAGAAATTCGCAAATGATAGTTATTTTCTAAAACCACTAAAAAATGTCAACAGATGTCAAGAGTTGACAATATTCGGTTATGAGTTATACTTCCATTGAATCGTTAAATTATTAGTTGGAATGTTAGAGCATTAATTCAAATTTAATTTTTCTGTAAAAAAAAAGAACCAATGTGTCAAAAAGAAAAAAAAAAGACTGTTGGTAAAAAAAAAAAAAAGGCATCAACAAAATTACTATTAGAGATGCCTTTTTTTTTGCCTCATTTTATCTTTTTAATGAAATTATTCTCATTCTCTTTGATGACGAAATTATTCGTCGGTTTGAATATAACGAACTATGACCCTTGAATTTGTTTACCCTTAATTAATGTCCAACACTATTAGCCTAGTTTTGTTTTTGATTGTTTTGGTCATTCTAAATTGTGTGTGAGTTATCAAGTGTATAGTTATGAATTTCAAAATATACTTTTTTAAAAAAAAGAAGGAAAGCATTTAAACTATTTGTTTTACCTTGATTAACAGTAGTAATTGAAAATTAACAAGCCTAAGCAATAATTTCTTGAATGTTCCTGTAGATCGTTATTAATTTTTCGTGGTAATTTGTATGATACCGATGATTTTTTATAAGAAATTATTTTCAGATTACAATGGGAATTTTGTAAATTAATGTCCGGAAAATTCTATGCTAATTTCCATTCAGAAAGGTTAATCTAAAATAATCAATAGTTCAAATGAATTTCTCTAAAAGTCTCTAAAAATCAATAGTTCAAGTGAATTTCTCTAAAAAATAATACTCGGAGTGGCGGAATGATTATTGCATTTTGTGCATTTTCTTTTTGCATTTTGCATTTTGCTATTTTCTTTTTTTCTTCGTTTTTTCGTTTTTTTTTTTTTTGTCTTTGTAATCTTAAAATTTTTTACTTCATGATATTTCCTATATTTTATGTTATTATTGTGAGCAATTTTGCGCTTTTTTTCAATTAACTGAATTTTAATTAACTCTTACATTTTCCCTTCTTTTTTCTTTTTTTCCCAAATCAAACAACTGTCTGCTATTCCCTACCATCTTTTTGAAATTAACTTAAATTATTCCAATTTTAAAAGTATTTCAAAATGTTGGAACTTTTTCAGGTTAGAATTTCAGTAACATATCCTTCCAATATTTAATTAAATTATTCCCAGCGTTCTCCTCTTAATTCCAAACTTAACGTATCATTGATCAAAAATTATTTTCATTAATAGAAATAATAACTATCCATTATCATAATTTGTTCCTGGTTACTTTTCACTAGCACTTATCCCCCGCTCTCTCCCCCGGGAAATTTCCAGTACAGTTCGAAAGTTTTGTTATCTCATTCTCGGCCAATCAATAAAATGTTTGAGAAAGTAAAGTAACAGTATGTTTTGAATTCTGGAAGAATTTTAAGAGAGACAATAATTTTATAAAGATAAAAAGATTTTATGATGAAAAGCTAAAGAGAAAATTGGCTTAACAAGAAATAATTGAACATTCGAATGAAAAATAAGAAAAAAAATTTTGAAATCTCTACTTAAATTTAATTAATTCATTAATTTAGGATGAATGATGAAAAATTGGAATAATTTGTCAATCAGTTGCATAGCTATCAATCATTTAATTGCTGTTTTGAAACTATTCGAATACTTTCTTGTTGATTAATTACTTTCAGTTCCTATTAACATCATAATTTTAGAATTTGATATGCTTGTTGAATGCTGCAATTATATTTAAAAATATTGTGATTCAGTCTTGAAGAGAAAAAAATATCCATAAACTAAAAAAAAAAAAAGAGGAATGGAAAACTCATAGTACTGGATAATACGAGATGAAAATTTCTTGTTTTTTCTCTTTTGAATTTCAAAATTCTTTTTTTTTTTGCTTCCCACAATTTTTCTCGAATTTTTTTTTAATTTGCATGAGTTGTAATTTTACAAAGTCATTAAATTTTATTAAAAAGTGAGAAATCAAATTAGCAAGGAAATACTAGTTTAAGCATTGCTATCGAATGGAATAAATAAAATTATTTTGCATGAATTTCCCTCTTTCGTAAATTTAATTTTACTGAAATTTTACTAATTTATTAAATTCTTCTTTTGAATGAAAAAGGAAACAGTTCAAGTTTGAAAATATATTAGCAGAAAAATAATAATTTAAGCATTACTGTCTATAAAATAAATAAATTTATTCTATGCAAAATGAGAATTTATTAGTTTTTTTACGTTTAATTTTTTTTACGTTTGATTTTAGCTATTTCATTTCTATTTTATTATATTTTTCAACTGTTTGTTTTCTATTTCTTTTTATAATTTTATTTATGTTTTTAATTGATATTTTTTACAAATACTTGTGCAATGTACTGAAATAATTAATTTTTTTTGCTAGTTTGGATGTCGTGTTGCATGATACTTATTATGCATAATACCTATTATGTTTTTGTTATCACACAAAAGTTTTAGTGAGGGATACATTGCATGTAAATTTAATGGCAGACACATTTGAAAATATTTTTGGATTTATATAAATTTATAAAATATCGAATTAATGTTTTCTGTTTTTTTTATATAAATTCATAAAAGATTGAATTAATCTTTAATACTTCAATACTTTCGTATTTGTATTTATATGTGTTGAATCATTAATACTTCAACATTTTGATACTTCGATACTTCAGTTTTTTTTTAACTTTTGAAATAAGTTTTTGCAAGTTTTATTCTTAATTAAAACTAACTAAAATAAATTACGGAAAATATTCTGCTGTTTTGATGTTTTGCTCATTAATTTTGGTTTAATAGACAATATTAATTAACAGAATTTTACGAACTTTGATATTTTGTCCATAAATTTTAATTCACCTGTTGATATTTGCTAAAACAACTTACAAATTATATAAGCTTACGAAATAACATTGGAAGATGAAAGATTGACATATTCAGAAGAAAATTAAAGCTTAATTATTTAATATGTTTACCAAAATTACTAATAAACTTTGGTTTAATAACTAATTATCACTAGCAGAGTGATTAAAAATTAATTGAGCTAGTGTAAATTTAAAGTTGAATTTTGAAAATGATTTGAAATAAAGGAAATACTTTCCTTTTATTTCTTACAAACACAATACTGATATTTTCTGATAATATATAGCTTTCGAATTTGTCATGCATTCGATTTAATTTTAATAAATCAGTGTATTTTAATAAAGCGTAAAAATCAATAGACAAATGAATTAATTAATTAAGATAATAAAAAAAATTGCAAGTTATTTCTATTATTCGATTAATTTTTTAATCAGCAAATAAAATGAATGAATTGTCATGTTAATTGCAACAAAATTGGAAATTAACAATTTTTCAACTTTTAATCATTTAATTTTCACGTAATTAAGCATAAACTTATATATATGGAATTGTAAATGGAATGAATTTAATCAACCAATGAATAAATATATAAATACTTTAATTTGAATTTACTTCATAAGTTCATATAAATATTTGAATTTTGAATTTATTAATCTTATTGATAATTTTACTTATACCACTGGAATGTGACAAGGAAAAAAAAACGAAAGAAGAAACGGAAATGCATAATGAAATGATATGTGAACCAGCTGTTGAAATTTGAAGAAAAGAAAAATAAAATGTGATAAAAGTATAAGATGAAAAAGAAAAACTAAAGAATAGCAAAAATAAGGGAAGAAATAAAAGAAAAAAAAATGAATAAATACAAATTAATTTTTTCTTAATATATATGTTTTTTAATACATATATCTAAATATACAATAATATATGCTATATTAATTCAACAAATAATGAAATTACGAAAAAAATTTTTTTTATTTGAAGTGATTATTTTACAGAAATAACATTATTGAAATGAAATAATTGGAAATTAAATATAAACCTAATAGTTTTTAAGCGAATTAAACTTAATGTTAGTAATCAAATAAAGCTAAAAAATTTCATCACCAATAACTTTTTCTTGTATAACGTTTTAAAATTATTTGATTTATTTAATAAAAAGAAAAAAGAAAAAGAAAGACTGTTTTATTGATATTTTGAAATTATTTGGTTTACTTAATGAGAAAAAAAAATCAACCTTATAATTGTATTATTTTTTAGTGCGATAATAAATGATATGCATATAATCATGCAAGAATGCATTGATGTATTATTTGTCAATTGTCATTATTTATGATATTAATTAGTGATTAAAGTGATAAATTTTTGCTTGAGCATCTGTTGATTTGAAATTTAACTTCAAAAAAGAAGCATAAAAGCAAAGTCATTTTGAAAAACAAAGCAAATGTTATTTTTAACATTTAAAAAAAAAAGTGAGAGGAAGGAAAAAGGGATACTGCAATCTTAGCAGATTTTTATTGTATTCAAGTTATCAGGTTTATTATATCCAGATGGCTAGATTCATTCTATCCTGACCATCAGATAAATTATATTTAGCTATCAAGTTCAATACATCCAGATTATCAGTTTGTTATATTCAGGTTATTAGATTCATTCTATCCAGGCTATCAAATCAATTATATCTAGCTATCAAGTTCAATACATCCAGATTATCAGTTTGTTATATTCAGGTTATTAGATTCATTCTATCCAGGCTATCAAGTTCATTTCATGCAAGTATTATCAGGTTTATTGAATTTACCCATGTTTTGTAATACATTTTTCCTTTTTATTTTTATATAGAAAAAATACGGAAATTCAATAAAAGGCGTTATTTAAAAGTTGCAAATAAATCCTACAAAATTCCTAATTAAATTAAAAAAAAATCTTAAACTTATGCAAATGAAAAAACGATCAATTAATTAATTAACTTGCTTAGAAAGCAATTAATTAAGGACCAGTTTCTGTACATTCGTTATTGCTTATCCAATTACGAGAACAAATTTACCAATGTGATTCCAAACCATTGAATTATTTTAAAATAAAATTAAAATTTTTGAAAATTTAACTTCTCTGCAAATAACGAATGTACAGTAATTGATTTATTAACTAATTACTTAGTGACTAATTAACAGGTTTGTTTCCGATTAACTTTGCAACATATTTGGTTGTAATTTATATGGTTTGAAATGCGAAATGTTAACAGTCAGCGAATTAATTAACAATTAATCATTTCGATTGAAATTGTTAGAATTTTCAAACGACTAACTTTTTCACTTCGCTTTTTTTTTTTGAATGTCCATCTTTTCGAATAATTGAAAATTACAAATTCCTTTCAAATTTTTCGTTTTATTGCTAAAGAAAATAACATTAATTGTAAATGATTGCTATAAATGATGCTAAAGTTAATATTTAAGCTTACATCATTCCATTCCTTCATTTTTTATTGTTCATTTAAAAAATCAAACTTTACTTATATCGCAAAACTTGTTTGTTATATTTTGAATTTATTAAATAAATGAGTAACTGCAAAAATAATTTGCAGTTTTGTTAATAAATTAGTGACAAATAATATCATTTAACGAATAAATATTCTTTGATAATATTATTGACTTTTGAAATGTGTTGAAAAAAAAAAAACAATTATATATCTCTTATTAGTAGTATTTTCAATATTAGGTTTATAAGTACTGCAAAAAATGTAGGAAAAAAAAACTTGCATATATGTTATCAGTAACCAGTAATAGAACTTGATATAGTATTAAATTCATTTGCATATTAAATGGGCAAACTGATAAAGGTATCAATTGGTTATTAGGTGAAAAATATTCATAACAATTGGGTATGATGGAAAAGTTCAAATGAATGATTATGTTAGTATAAAAAAAAAATTCAAGGTCAACAGATAGATAACGAAATAGTCAAAATTATCATATCAAAAGTTATTATCTTATTCAGCCAAAGTTATCATGCTATCCAGTCTAAGTTATTGTGTATTCTAGTTATTAAATTCACTGCATTTATTGCAATAATATCAAAGTTAAGTCTTCTATTATTGTTTTAAATTAAAAATTGGATTATATTTTCTGATCTGAATGCATTTTTTTCCTTCATTTTCAATTCCTAAATTTCTTTTTTACATCCAATTTTTTGTTTTTCGCTTTTTTTTTTCAACCATAAATGTACTGTTTTACAAACTATTTAAGTTAATGTTGCTGCAAAAATTGAAACTTTCACATGAAACAGAGAAATATTTCAAATTTTGATAAATAATTCCGATATTATAATCCTAAAAATTTAATAAAATCAATTTGATTTGCACTTTAATGCATACATTATAAAAATGGAAAACAACAAATTGTAGATTATAAATTATTTTATTTTATTGCAAAAACTAAAAATTTTCTAAATTACATAAATTATTCGTAATATTATTTAATTTAATGCTACATTATTCGTAATATATAAAAAAAAATTATTTAATTTAATGCTAATCAAATTATACCTAGTTTAATTTGAATCTATTTCTTTTGCATTTTAATTATCCTTCCTTTTCAATTTACTACTTAATGAAATAACAATTCATTCGCAATTTTCGAACAAACTGAAAAAAAGATTGAAATATACTTTCAGTTTATTTGTTTTTCAATTCTCTTTTTTTTTTTAATCTATTACTTAATTCAATTATAATTCATTATTTTTCAAACAAATTAAAAATTCACAATACAATGTGCATTTTTTTTCTTTAAAAAAAAGAATGCACGTTTATTTTAAATATTTATATACATTATTAATCATTTAAAAAAAATCATTTAATTATTAAATTTAAATTGTTAACTCATTTCTCTAATTACGGTATATGTAGAAAGCTTAGTCATCGCACACACACACGCACACACACACACACACACACACACACACACATCCCTATAGATACATACACACATATGTTTAGTACTTTAAAAAAAAACATTTAAATTGAAAAAAAAAAAAATCCCGAACATTAGCAATTTTTTTCCCACAATTTTACCCTTTACTTTTCAATTGATTTATTAGTATATATTTGTTTTTGCTTATAGCTTCAAACTTTTTTAAACTTCTCTCTATCCTATTTACTTTTTTCCCTTCTTTTCATCCCCTCTCTCTGTCTCTCTGTCTCTCCGTCTCTCTCTCTCTCTCTCTCCCTTCAAATCATTTCATCCTCTCCCTTTCTTTCTCTCATCACTTTTTATTTGAACTAATTTTCAATATAACTGAGCAAAAGGCATCAGTCATTATTTAACTAAATACTTTGTCAGTTCTTAACTTTCGAAATACTTAACTTCATTACATGTTTGCTAACTAACAATTAACAACAATTTTTTCATTTTTCTTTTTTTCTTTTAACCAACTTAAAGGCTTTTTTTTTCCATTCTCTTCCAATAAACTTTTTCTCGTCATAATTTAAAAAACTAATATTTTATGAATGAATAATTAAAATTAAGGTAAAAA